TACAAATTTCTCTAACTTTTCTCTTTCTGCTTTGTCCAAGACTGTTGTTGCTATGGGAAGGGTCATAGCAATGCTGTCAGGCACATCCTCAGGTTGATCTTGAGAGGTAACACTGGAACCCAGGCTCATCCTTGCTGATGGCCTAAAACAAGGAGAAATTTAATTATTGATACATTACTGTGCAATCACTTGTGCCAAACACATGTTTCTTTAGACACTTACGTTTGTTTGACAAGCTTCTGGTGAGGAAGGAATACTGGGTATTTCTTGACACCCAAACTTATGCTGACTTCATCCGGAGGAGACTCTAACCCACAATGAGGACACTGAGGCTTTCCAGCAATCATAAGTTGACAATCACGATGATAGTAGTGTAGTGAAGGGCACTGAACAAATCGCCCTTGTGTGCAATAGTTTCCACAACCAGGGCAGCAGTGGTGCCTTAATAATCGCTGCCTATGCTGCTCACACACCACAACATAAGGAACACGAGGGCTAGGCCGGTACAGTCTTGCTGATTCACTACCACCCACAGCATTGCAGCAGCCAATCAGACGTCCCTCCAAGGAATCAACAGCTTGGCACATAAGACTAAGGTCAGTTTCCTCAAAAGTCTCTTTACGAACATATAAATTAGTTTTTGATTGGCATAAACACAACCCAGCAGTCCCAGCCTGGCAATAAAAAGAAGTTATCATTTTATGAAAACAAATTTAGAATATGACAGTACACTATTGTAATTTTGTATAAAGGCTGTCACTTACACCAAATGAAATAGCTGTCGATTCTGGATGATTCGCATCTGCAGGAGTATCTCCAGGACTTGGTGATGGGGAGAGAGGATTATCTACAAAAAATGAAAAATAAATAAAAAGATAACATCTACTTGCAAATGTATGACCGTCTGTATCACCAAAAATCATTTAACATACCCCGTCTACTTTTCTTGGCCTTAGAGGTACATGCATCGCCTACTGCAGGACTACGACTACGGCTCTCTGAGGGGAAAAGTTTCATTAAGAAGGTATTTTTGATAAACCATACACAGCCATATTAAAGACTTATGACTTACTTTCTGAGGTTACGCCATTAATTCCTTTTTTAACTGAAGTAGAGTTTGAAGATTTGTTTTTGAGTGGTGGAGAACTCTCTTCAAAGTGAAAGTCAGAAGAGACATTTCTTTGAGAGGGAGCAGAGCGTCGAAAGACTTTGGACCTCTTGGTGACCCCACTGAAGGAATACCTAAGACCCCGAAATGGTTTGTAGCGACGTTTGCCAGTCTTTGTATGTGTGCAATCTGCATCTGATTTGACAGATGATGGTTTAGAAATGGGTTGAGGTGCTGAATCAAAATCCATTTTGGAATCTTCTTTGGGTACATCATTTATGTTATCAGTTTGAGATTTCAATTGCAAAGAGTTCTTTGATTTACCTTCTGATGTTGATTCGGCAGAACTAACAGACAAAGTATCCTGTGATTTGCTTTGAGACCTTTTCCCAACAGACAAGGAATTTCTACCCTCCCTCAAGCTACGAGCAATAGCTTTGTGGGCTTTGTCATCATCTGATTTTCCAATAGAACTTAAGGACTTTTCTTTTCGAGCAATAGCATTTTGAAGAACAGTTTCTCCTTCTTTGGACCAACGCCTTGCAGACCTCTTACGGCCTGAAGCAGGGGAGTCCCCTTCAGATCCTGTCTCTGAGCGTGTAACAGAACGGTTACGTAGGGCTCTCTTTCTAGCTAAACGTTTTTTATTGTCCTCTTCATTTTCATCCATACCTTGATCCAAGGTAGATGAAGGTAAATCGACATTGGGAAGTATTTTCTCAGTAGTAGTTTGCTTTGGCTCACTCAAATCCTTATTGTTAGATGCAGCTGATATGGGCAAGGCACGATTAGGTATAGAATTGCACTTCAGATGTAAAGATTCTGAATCAACACTGAACGTTTCCAATTTTTTTTCAGATCTTCTTTTGTTTACTTCTGGTTTAACAATATTACCTATGTCTCCTGGTTTGAAACTATTTTTGCTGTTAGATTGGTCTTTCTTGCTGTTATTTTTTTTCTCAAGTTGAGAGTCTGAAGCACTATTTTTAACAGAAATAGGATCTTTCTTGCTGCTTGGTTTGACATCTAAAATGGAGTCAGAATTGCTTTTACTTATTATAGGAATTTTCTTGGCACTGCATTTGTCATCCACTAGCTCTGATGTACTGCTTCTGCTACTCGGTGGTTCAACTTTGGCATTGGATTTATTTTCTACATCAGCAACATTAGTGCTACTGGTTGGGATATTCTTTTTACCACTCTTTTGATCTAATACAGCATCAGAGTGAGTTCCTGAAGAGGTCTTCTTAATACCTTTACTGTCTTCAGGTGGCAGAGGTGTAGCATTGTCCACAGAACTATCATTTTGAGAATCCGGATCTGGTGACTCTTTGGGATCTTTTAACACAGGGTTGAAATTACTCTTCATTGCATTAAGAACATACTTGATGTGGGGCTTATCTTTGGATGACTTGTCGCCATTTGGCCAATGTATTCGAAATGAATTTGGGTTGCTCATTTGTGCTTGACAGTTTAAATCCTGGAAAAAAAATTAAGCCATAAGAATAGTTCTGCAAAGAAAAATGAGTAAACATGCAAGTACAATAAAACAAAAAAATGTTAAGACCACAAGCGCCAAACGTCGGTATTCAGTTAGTACAAGATGATTCAAGATAGATTACAGCAAATGTGCCAGAATAACCTTACAAGACCTGCAGACATCACATAAGCAAGATAACTATAACCTAAATCATATCTGAAACCAGACTTCAGGGCAAGGAAACTAGAAGCAGTGGCTGAAAAATTAACGTCTAATTTGGAAAGGGACACTCGCCCGCAACGAAAAATCGGTGCGAGAACGCAGCGCACCGCTGTTTTGTATTGTAATTCATCCGGCGTTATGAATGCCAACAACACCGTCCAGCACTGTAAACAACGCCGAACACCTCCACCGGAGCGCTTTCATTCAACCGCAAAAAGCCTTGGGTCCGGCCCGCGCCCGCCCCCCGGGCAGCGACCCGCGGGCTACAGAGAGACGTTTGAAACCCGTACCTGTTTTACGGGAAATACACTTGCTACCCCTTTTATGCTTGACGGGTCCGTGTCACCACCGCCATGTTCTCTTGCGTTGGCCGTGCGCTGCGGGCTGCGCGTCGGACGCGTCGGCTGCTGTCGGCTCGGCTGGGGGTCACGTCCAGATCGCCCCTCTCGCTCTCTTTCTCGCTCTCGCTCGCTGAGCCCGGAGCGCTGTCCGAGAGAGCAAGAGGAGAGAGACAGCAGAGGCAGGCGCCGCGGTGTTCTGCGGGCTGCGTTCAGCCTTCACTAGCGGGGGCTCCGGGCTCCGGGCCTTCGGGCCGCCGTGAGGGGAGGGACAAGAAGGGTGGCCTGTGGGGGCGGGCGGGCGCGGGCGGCGTCCACCAAAAGAGAAAACGCAAATGCAAGAGCTATCGAACACATCTTTGGAAATGATGTTCTCATTTATTTGGTTTCGGGATATCCGAAAATAATGTGGATTTATGAGTACACGCTGAGCGTCAGATCCCCCCTTTATCCTTGACGCGACGCCCCGGCTTAGTTTAATCTTGATTCCCATCGGATAATGTGTATCTTCGCTCGGCCTAACGCAATGCGCCAGCACATATCGGCTCACTTTTCGCCGTCGATTCCGTAGTTTGGGTTTGCTTAAAATAGTTTGAAGTGAAATTAAAACTGGACTAACTGGAGCCAAACGGTGATTCTTCATTTGAGGGGCCACATCAAGACGGCACTTCGGTTGCAGGATGAACACGAGCACGGAGGGTCGGCTCGGCCGGCGCGGCCCGGGGCTTGTATCTTCGGCTTCAGCTCTGGCTAATCCCCGCGGATTGCTCGCGACGTGTCGCGGGCTGAGGAGGCGCGGCGCGGGGCCGCCAAGCCCGCGTCAGGACACCGAAAGCCTCAGTGCTGACCAGCCGCGGCACCAGCATACAACGCCATGAAGACCCTTTCGCTGTCCTGCCTGCTGGTGCTCGGCTGGGCCGTCTCGGCGGTAAGTGGTGATACCATAATGGTAACAGCAATATTATCGCGATTTGCGTGATTTTGTCCGATGAAAAACAACTCCGCTGCCGTAGTAACGTGGCGGAATCATTGTATTCATATTTGCCGTGAGAGAACCATGCTTTCCGCGAGTTACGTTTTCAAGCTCGGGAACCTATCATTCTGTGAGAAATTTACATTATTACGCAAGGAGCAAAACAGAGGGCAATCGGGAGCATTTCGATTGATAATCATTTTGACAGCGTTGTCGGCTGAATGGTCCTTCCCTAAAATCTCCCAATCTGGAGTGATGTTACACGATCTTGAAAATGAACATCCCCACCCTACCCGTACTACCGTGCTCATTATTTGCTCTCCTTGTGTGTCGACCAAAGTATTTCTCGTATTTCTGCTCCCACTTTCTGTCGAGCCCTCCCCTCACGTGCCGATCGAGTCCGCTATCAGAGGCGCGGAGTGGGATAATCCACCTCCACATCCATAATCTGTCATTCCCTGAAACTCGCGACATGTACACCAAGCAGTGGCTGATTAACCCCGCGCACTTCTGTTAGTTATGCTGCATCTGCACGTGGCATACTGCGTGCGGGCGGGTTGCCTACTCGCTCGGTCTGTATGGCCAAAGATGGGCAAACCCGCCCGCACTCGTGCAGTACAAGCACAGAACTGCGCGCGGAGTCTATCAGCCACCTGATATCGTCACTCCCAGGTGGCTGATGAACCCCGCGCACTTCTGCAGTTACACTGTATACCTCAGGCTCGAGTACGGGCGGTCTTGACTATCGCCCCTGTACACGCCACGGTGCCTTACGAGCCGAGCGAATAGGCAAGCCCGCCCGCACTCTTGCGTGCGGTTCAGTGTAACAACAGAAGTGCGCGGGGTCAATCAGCCACCTGATATATCGTCCTGCTGCCACGAGGACGAGGATTACAATGGACTGGAGAAGGATTATTGCCCACCTAGAGAGCGGGATGGGTCGGTCTGAACCCTGATCCCCTGGAACCGCTGGTGGGTTGGCGGTTTGTCCTACAGTCCACCTAAAAGTAGGCCAAAAATGCACGGCTCGGATAGGGGTGTGTATTGAATGTTACCGCCGTCACCGTCACTTCCATTTCTTCTCCAGGAGCCGCTGCTGAAGGCCGGCATACCGCTGCTGCCCACGCTGGAGGAGCAGCGGCTCCTGCTGTCCGAGGCCCGCGCGCACCCCGACAGCCTGCACCGCCTGCCCAGCCCCGTGGGGGTGGTGGGGCGCCCGCAGCAGCAGCACGGCGGCCGCGCGCCCCGCAGCCTGGCCGAGCTCAAGGTCAACAGGACCCGGTCGTCGTACGTGCGCGCAGACCCGGCCGTCCCCAGGGCGCCTCGCGAGCCGCAGCCAGGTTAGCCCCAAGTCGCACTGGGTGCGGGTGGGTTGCCTTATGCGCTTGGAGCCGCAAGGCATGGAGACGAGACGATGCGGAAACCCGCCCGCACGCCTGGGGTGCTGGCCACCCACCCGGTACTCCTGTACTGCTCGCGCACCCGAAAGTGATTCGGTCATGTTGAAGTTTGACGTCCGACTTGTGCAGCCTCGGCTGGGCGCGTGTCGGCCGGCCTGCGCATCATCAACGGTAACAAGGCCGTCCTGGGCCAGTTCCCCTGGCAGGCCGGCATCCTGGCCGACTTCGGCGCGGGCGGCAAGGCGTGGTGCGGCGGCTCCATCGTGCACAGCCTGTGGATCCTCACCGCGGCCCACTGCGTCGACGACCAGTGAGTGTTGTTCCCCGTGACAGCGGGGCGCCGTCCTCTACAGACATTGTATGGGCCTGTCCACCTGAGACATATGACTCATACGACCAATGTTTCGTACAGGGCCGACAGCTACACGATCTCGGTGGGGTCCCTCGGGAGCGAGGAGGGCTCCGAGCCCAGCAGGATCGTGTTCAAGAAGTTGAACGAATTCTACCAGCACCCCGCGTACAACCCCTACTTCATCGACAACGACGTGGCCCTCATGAAGGTGCCCACGCACATCACCTTCAACGCCTGTGAGTTGAGTCGCCTGCCGCGCGGGGTATAGCCGGCTCTCCGAGCAGGGCTTATCTCTGTCACGACGACGACACGATCGGCCATCGACCAGCCCAACTACTTGAACCCCTCTGACCGACACTGACCCCCCCCCCCTTTTCTGCTTCTCCCTCCTCCAGGGTGCGCGCCCGTCAGGCTGCCCTCCTGGTCCATGGCAGCCGACATGATGGTCGGGAAAACCGGCACCGTCAGCGGCTGGGGAAAGACGACTGATGGTAAGGGCACGAGTACCGCAGTAGCTCTCTCTCTCTCTCTCTCTCTCTCTCTCTCTCTCTCTCTCTCTCTCTCTCTCTCTCTCTCACACACACACACACACACACACTCGTGTGTGACTGTTTGATCAAACCTGTTTAAACAATCTTGGTGTGTACGTACCGGTTTTCACGCCTTTTGCTTTTCTGTCGATTGTTTGCGCGTGCAATCAAAAGAGTCGCAAAAGCAAACTCTCGCAGAGTCTGAGTTTCACCTTCATCGTGCTCTCGTTGCAGCTGACAAGTGGATCTCCAAGGACCTCATGTACGTTGAGAACACGATCGACGACGGCAAGGCCTGCTTTGACACCTACGGCAACTCCTATATCCCGAACAAGATCTGCGTGAAGACCACGGACAAGCGCAGCTTCTGCAGTGTACGTATATGGGGTCGTCCAGAGAGTGCGCCCGTTTTTCTCAGATTCTTTTGGCCAATTAGTTGATGACGGGAGTTCGGCGCCTGCGATACTTGGGGTAGGCCACACCGCAGTACTCGCGTGTACTGCAGGCAAGATGTTGCCTATCTACCAGGCGTTATGAGAGCTTACGGTTGAACTTGGCCGGCTCGTAAACGGCGAATGACGGGCGTACTTCCTACCGCTGAACGTAGCTGGCAGGCATAGCCGTGGACCGAAGACATCTGTCGCGCCACCCTTTAGAGGATGACCACCTGCGTACTGTGAACCATAATATGACACGTTAACCGTTAACGAGGCTCAGGGTAATTCATGGGGGCAAAATGCATTAAACATTTGGAATTAATAAAATCAAACAAACACATGAACGCAGATACGTAACACGATGAGGTATTTTACGACAAAGAAGAAGAGGTGGGTGATAAACCGGTACAACCAGAAATAATAAGGACGACACTCACCCTGTACCAGTGTATCGCCGAACCATCATAAAGCCTTCACCAATCAGGGAGGGACTCTCCCGTGACCGACCAGCTCCTGCAGAAAGGTTTCCGCAGACTGGTCTTCTTCTTTCTCGTCAAATTACTCACAACAGAACCGGTACCTCCCCTCTCCCACAGGGCGACTCGGGTGGCGCGTTCACCATCGTGGAGCAGGACGGCGCCCACACCCAGCTGGGGATCGTCTCGTTCGGCGCCAGGGCGGGCTGTGAGAAGGGCTACCCCACCGCCTACACGCGCGTCGCCTCCTTCCTGGACTTTATCGGCGACACTACCAACATCGCCATCCGAGATTAGAGAGAGGGGTGCGACCGGCCGGCCGCGTCGTTTCGGGCGAGTCATAGACCTGCGAAAAGAGTGCTGATTGCGAAAGGAGTGGACGCTGATGCTGCAAGATTCGGATTTTCCTAACAAAAAACAGTAAATAAAAATCTCGAGTAATTGATGATTCTTGTAAGTACATCTGCACTGACTACCCATCTAATCTCCCAGCGCTTTCGCCTGCCCATGCCACATCCGACTGACGGGTGGCACGATATCCTGGGGTTGCCTACATACATGGAGATGCAAGTTGCCTCCTTACACTGTTAAAAAAAAAATGTAAATTTACAACGAAAGTTTGATTAATTTTGTTAGCAACACAGGCTGTTTTTTTTACAGGACATACTGTCTAAAAACATCATTAATCAAAATCTCGGAAATAAAGTTTCTGACCGAAAGCAGTCAATTTTGTTTTGCTCCTCTGTGAAAAAAAAGTTGTAATAATACGAGGGTATTATTTTGGAACGAAATGTGTTGCTAACAAAATTGACTACTAACTCATGCCTTGTACATGAACAGCAAAGCAATAGCAAGTAGTTTTTGATGTAGGCCAATAAAGGCCGAATATCACAAGTTTCGAGAGGGTTCAAATGAAAACAACGCCATTGAGTATGAAATTCCGCAACACTGCTGCGTATTCAGTTACACACGGTACATAATCTCTTGTCTACAATAAAAAAAATCACAGGAGTAACGATTTTACCAACAATAGAATGTGTTTTGAAAACACAAAAAAATACGTGCGCTTGAAAGTTGTTTAGGACCGCGTGGGGCAATTCTCAGACGCGGGCGCGTAGTTCTCGCATCCTCACAGTTTAAGTGAACAGCTGCGATTGTCCCCTTCAACTGCAACGTTGCATGACTCTGGCGTCGTTGATACCGCGAAGTGTTTGGCGTCTTACTCTTGAGTGACGTTGAGGTTGTGATATTTCCTAGCCAACACCTCTCTCCGTCATTTACTATGCTACTGTTTTTATCTTATTTAGTGGGCAGGTTCTTTCATTCCGGTGTCCACACTCTAAATGAGAGTGTAGAGTGTAGTGCCAAAAAAACGTCGGAAAACTCCACTCAATGACTCACCTATCATAATTTTCACAGTTGTTATAGGGTCCATATTTTGAATTATGATTTCGCGTAGAGACACCTGCTAGGACAATTTTAGTCAAATACTTCGGCACAAAGTCGCTTTGGTGCAGGTCTGGTCGCATTTTACGTGTCAATTGCCTTTTTAGACAATAAGTCTGTTTTTGGCAATTGCAAATTGTAAAATATTACTTTTTGTCTTTTTTTCCCCGTAAAAGATCTTTACGTTAACTTCGGACAGCTTGTAGGGGGTTCAGAGAACGTTCCCGGGCCGTTACGGGGACGGGAAGGCGACAAGGCGACCGTTCCCTGAGACGAGCCAATGACTGTTGAAATAAATAATGAGTTATAGGGATTTCGCAGGACCTCCGAAACGCTTAGGAATGACCAAAGCACCAGGCTCAGGAGCCACCGACTTCAAAGGGGACACCTGGGCACACCATCTTTGAAGTTATTAGCTATTCCCAGCCACTCCGAGGAAACCGCCCCCTCCTGTCTCCTCAGTAGAACCAGAAATGTTTCATATGCCCCCCCGCCCCCCCGGCGGGACCACTTCCGGTTGTCGACTGGGGTCGAACTTTGGTATTTGAGCGCAGCACGGAACGAGACCCGGTTCGGCATTTTTATCCTTCGTGCAAAACGCCTCCTTCTCTGATATGGTCCAGATCAAAACCATACGAGCACCAGTCGCCTACCATCAGGCGTGTTTTTGCAGACTGAAAAAGAGGAGGGGGCAGGGCAGGCATGTGTTCTGAAGTGACTCAGCGCCCTTTGTTCACGTACTTGGCGGAATAGCTGCACACTTGAGATAACATTTGGCCCGACGCTGACGGTCCTGCAATTTATACGGGGACAATCCAAGCGGTTCCTCAGTTCTTCTGGCTGCAGCAAACAGAAAAGCTCCAGGTAGGCACCTGCTGGCTACGCTGTGGCCGGGTCTTGTCTTAAGAATCATTCGAGAGTCGGCTCTCCTGATATTTCCGAGTTACCATTTTTGCTTCTTCCCTCAATCAGGATGATCGGCTGGACTCTTACCGCCCTGCTCGCCGGGCTGGGCTTTGCCCTCTACTCCTACCTGGCCAAGATCTTCACCTACTGGACCAAGCGCAAGGTGCCGGGCCCCAAGCCGACCCTCCTCACGGGCAACTTCGGCTCCAACCTCATGGGTAACAAGAGTATCGGTGACATCGCCGACCAGGTCTACCAGGACTACCGCGACGAGCCCGTCGCCGGCACCTTCGTTATGACCCAGCCGCTGCTCCACCTCCACGACCCGGAGATCATCAAGCACGTCCTCGTCAAGGACTTCCAGGACTTCCACGGCCGCGGCATCTACGTCGAGTCGGAGCGCGACCCGCTCACCGCCCACCTGTTCAACCTGTCCGGCAAGCGCTGGAAGGAGCTCCGCGCTAAGATCGCGCCCACCTTCACCCCGGCCAAGATCAAGTACATGTTCGAGACCATGAAGGAGTGCTGCACTCAGCTGCAGGACTTCGTGGAAGCCAAGGCGGCGGCCAACGGTGGCCGGTACAACGCTGACATCCGCGAGATGCAGGCCCGCGTCAGCACTGACGTCGTCTCCTCCGTGGCCTTCGGCATCCAGAGCAACAGCCTCAAGACTCCCGAGTCTGAGTTCCGCCGCATCGGCACCAAGGTCGTGGAGCCCACCGTGTTCAACAGCATCCGCCTCATGGTCCTCTTCTTCCTCCGCGAGATCGCTCAGAAGTTCCAGTTCACCATCACCGTCACCGAGATCGAAACCTTCTTCACCAAGCTGGTCGCCGAGACCGTCGCCTACCGCGAGCAGAACGGCATCGAGCGCGCCGACATGCTTCAGATGCTGATGCAGCTCAAGAACAAGGGCTTCGTTCAGCCTAGGGAGGGCGAGGAGGCCGAGCCGGTACCTGGTAAGTGACGAGTCAACGCATACCTCCTCTCGGAGCGAAAACCTCTTCTCAATCTCACAATCTCGCCTGTTTGCAGAGGACGGTCAGCCCGGAGGCAAGCTCACCATGAACGAGATGGTGGCCCAGGTCTACATCTTCTTCATCGCTGGCTTCGACACCACCTCTGCCACCACTTCCCTCACCATGTACGAACTGACCAAGAACCACGACATCCAGGAGAAGGTCTACCAGGAAGTGCAGGACGTTCTGAAACGCCACAACGGCGAGGTCACCTATGAAGCCATCATGGAGATGACCTACCTCGACAAGGTCATCAACGGTGAGTGATTTTATGGTTGTCAGCGATGAGAGCGATCGTTTCGCAAGTCAAATGTTTCGCCATAAACTCGATCAAGTTTCAGACAGCAGCTGCTGAACGATTACATGTCGCGGTTGTTGCGAATATTCACCTTGTCAAGTCTTCTATAAGATCGCCTGACTAAATATATCATCTTTCCTCCCCTTCCGCAGAGACCCTCCGCATGTACCCACCCCTGCCCTTCCTGAACCGCGAGGTGATGGTGAACAGGGAGATCCCGCTGACCAACATTCAGGTGAACAAGGGCACGCGCATCATCGTCCCGGTGCGCGCGCTGCACCACGACCCCCAGTACTGGCCCGAGCCCAGCAAGTACGACCCCGAGCGCTTCAGCGAGGAGGCCAAGGCCAGCAGGCCCGCCCACGTCTACCTGCCCTTCGGCGAGGGACCCCGCGTCTGCGTCGGTAAGTAATATCCGGTCGAAAAGGGAGGCGTTCAGATACAGTCATTTCCCTGACGATGAAAAGGAAACAAAATGGTTTGGCCCCTGGTAGATATCCAAAATCACGCGACAAGGCCCTTAAAAGTTAATTAGGACTGATAGGGAGTTAGTTGGCCCAATCAAGATAACTCTCGAGAAAACTCTGTCTGATGTTTTTTCTATTCCTACTCAGCACAACGTCTGGGCCTGATGCAAGTCAAGGTCTCCGTCGCCATGCTCCTGTCGCGCTTCCGTCTGGAGGCCAGCGAAGACACCCCCGCCGAGGTGGAGTTCGCTCCCAGGTCCTTCGTCCCGCTGCCCAAGAAGGAGCTCAAGATGACCCTTGTCTCCCGCCAGATCGCTGCCGCCTAAACTGAGAGCAATTATCGACGACATTAAAATGACCTCAACGTGATACTTGTTACCCACAAGACTGCTGCAGCCGCAACCTGTGCCTGATATTATATTTAGAATAAGAGTAATAAATGTGATTTTTTTTACTCTGGAAAAAACTTTAATAAGGGATGTAAAACCTCGGATAAAAAGCCACTACACCCCCACCCCCCACCCCCACCGGTTCCAAGAAATGTCGGTGGTATTCGGTGTCGTGCCTGCACTGAAAAAAAAAATGCAGTGCTGCTAAGGACATGTCGGTCATAGGGGCCTGTTGCTGGCCAAGAACATTTTTGTTGCTAACCGTGCGAGTGCGACACTGTCCTTCAATCTCCGGTGGAGTGTTCTTGAGCCAGCTAAGAAGTCACTGACCCAAGGACCGTTTGTTGTGCGGTTAGCAACAAAATGCTCTTTAATCCGAACCAAGAACAAATTTCTGTTTAGGGTGTTATAGTTCATTCGCTAAATGTAGACACCGGCATTGGCATCCCTCTAAACCCGAGGCTCCATTGTAAGCGTCATTACGATGTGTGGAGCCCTGTCCCCGTTCCCCGCCCGACCCCTGGCTACACCTGCCAACATCTTTTCATGGGGAGAGCGGAGGTGGGCGAAGCAGGCGCGGGTGTCTTCGGCAACTCAAGGCAGAGGGATCGACCCTCGTAATGAGCGTAACCAGGCCGTTTATGAGGGCGACAAAGAAGGGCCAGCAATTGTTTCGATTTCCTTTGCGTGCCGGTGTGTCTACATTGAGCTAATAGCTATCCTTAGCTCCACAGTATTTTTTCTTCAGTGTATCAACTTTCTCAACTCGTTGAATCTCAATAAGTGACCACACGTGCGTCGTGTGGCCACAATAGCCGTGATTGCGACCCAGGTGCGGTATAAGAGGAGGGGGGGGGGCGATGGCGTCCCCCATCATCTCTAGAGAGCCGCTGAAAGGTAGGCAATTTGTGCCACAAACCCCTGTAAGTAGGCAACCCGGGCTGCACCGCCACCCCTGTCCGCCAGGCCTTATACCGC